TTTTATTGGGGATTTTGCATACATGTGACTTTTACATTATTTGTGTTCTGAAGCACTGGTAACACTTGCAAGTGACACTTTTTTCCTCTCCATTTTTAAGTGCCTCCAGTATAATTTATTTTTGTATAGCTTTGTGTAAGGTGCTTTGTCAGAAAAGATCCCAAAGACCTTCTGACACAAATACAGAAATGCAGCACTTTTTATGTGGGAAGGCAGCAATCCCATGTTGCCAGTTTCTCACATTCAGAAATGATGACTCAAAATCTCAGAAGTCATGGGTTGGTTTGAGAAGTTCATTTTTCTTTTCTTTGTGTGGTTTTTTTTTTTATGGAATGCAATTCTAAATTAGATCTGCCCTTTAAAGGGATGAAAACTTAAGTCTATAAATGAAAGAGAAAGGATTAAAAGAAAAAAAAAAAAAGGAGGGAAAGGATAACCAAGATTCTTGCCAAAGGCAAGAACCCAGTTCACAAAAAGCCGCAGGTTTCAGGAATTCACAAAACGCTGTAATATCTGATGAATCAGCAGGACAGGAAATCAAGACATCAAGCAGTGAAAGCGAAGCAAACCCCCATGGTATCCAGGACCTTTGGATCTTTAATGCTCATTCAGAGCACAAGAGCTCCGACTTAATTTCAGCTGAAAGGTCTTAGTATTACTACTTACTGCCCAGTTCTCTTATTTTGGCTGGTTAAATGATGAAATTGTTCCTGCCCCATTTCAAACAATTGGTCCCCCAGTACTTTGACAGCTCATAGTGCGGTTTGTATCATACCTGTAGCACACAGCATTGTCCACTGAATTGACATTACTATGCTATTACTATTGAATATATTATATAATTGTTAATAGTTACTGTGTATGTTACATCAATATTAAGATTACCTGACACTTCCTACTGCAAACCCTATTTTCAGTTAGTTATAACTTCTCATACTTGTAATGATTTGACACAAAATTTTCTGTGCCAGGTGTCTGCCTCAGGCAGAATTTTGTGGTGTTCTTTGGTTGGTTTATTTTTTTTTTTTCTTTTAATGTCAGCCAAAGCAGCTCAGCTATTTCTGAGAAGTCAGCTAGGGAAAACCATGCAAAATAAACCTGGCAGTCTTTCTGAAGGGACTTAGCATGTCCTTATCCTGGGGGAAAGCACTTAACCTTTGGAAAAGGTGTGACTTGACTTTTGGATATCTGCGTCAGTTGGTAGGTTCAGATGGAAAACCTGCCAGAACGTGGGTGAACAATGAATTTTTAAGAGATCACAGCTCACCCTGTGCTCACACAGGCCTGTTGGAATATGATGTCCGATAAGACCATCCACACTCAAAGCCTTCAGCTCCAATCCAAAACCACCCTGATGTGTGCTTGCCCCCCAAAAACTAGCAGCTCTTTCCAGCCCCAGTCAGGAAACTGCAAACTTCTGGTAATAAGATAAAATGCAAGACACATTTCAGCCATCTTTTCCCCTTGTGTTCAAGGTTCATCTTTATCTTGCTCATGCTAAAAACACTCAGCATCCCTTAACACCAAATTATGTTTTTAATTCCTGAAATTGAAAGGACTATTGAGAAAAGCAGATGTAATCAGTACATTTTAAGGCTGAATGCGGGACCAAGGCTTTCCTCATCTTTCTGTCTTAGCGGTTTTGCAGCAAGGTACCTCCAAATGCATGCTTACTGCACGCATTATGGAAAGAGGACATCTTTCTTCTTCTCTCAGTAGGCAGAAAATACCTGCCTTGTCTCATGTTCTCCAACATCTGTCTCTGATCTGGCAGTCCATGCACAGAGCCCAGGACTGCAGCAGTTGCCTTCCCTCAGGCTGTGAAGCCACAATGCATCCTGATGCACTGCCCCAGATAGTATGGTTTTACTTGGTGGTTTTTGGAGGGGCTCTTCTGCACCGTGCCTCTTCCATCTACCCGGGAGATGCATATCAGTTTGTCAAAATCATGCAGGAGATTGAAAACATATCATAACTGAAGTGAAATCACACAATAATCATTTATGGTACAGCGCCAGTTTGAATATTGCTTCTTCATACCCCCCAAAATGAATGGAAGTATGTTTATTGTAAAGATTTCTGCCATTTTTCTCTGGATTGATGCTCTGGAGACCAGAGCAATTTCTAGGGAATTTGTAAGTACATTTCAGCTATTTTTATTTTCTTAACTTGACACTTCTTCAAAAAAAATTAAAATTGCTAGGTTTTTTTCATTTTTGAGTATCTAAATTATATTGCTCGTTAAATGCCACCCATTGAACATCCTTATAATTCATAAAACCACACAGAATAGTGATAATTTTCTTAGGAAAGGGTGTTTTAATGTGCATAGTGTATATCTAGTCCTGTTGCTCTTTACAGTTTATAACTGGTGTGTTGGTCTGTATAGACCAAAATTAGACTAAAAATTAGCTTTGTTCAGCAAATGTTTGATTGCTGTATCACAGCCTTTTTATTATAGCATTCGGTTCAAAGATGTTGGTGTACCTTATTGAGCAAGCTGCATATTTTTCAGGCTAAGGTGTGTATACTGTAGTCATTACATTTTTGCACACTTCACTGACTGAGCTGCATGGACTATTTTAACTATCACCCGGAATACTTGACTGAGTTCAGCTGCTTATTTGAGAGCTTCAGTTTGTGTACTTTATTACTTCAGTGGTGTATGTTGATAAAGTTCTGTTCTGTGCTGTTAAATTTTTGGTTCTGCCAATCTAACTATATACCATGCTGAGAGAACTGCATGCATTGCTAACTGCTTACTCCACGGTGAACATGAGTGGTTGAAATGTTATAATCTGCAGTGTTTTGTTAAATGAGCTGTATATTTTTGTTTTTATATACGTTGCTTACCAGTTGTGTACATTTGCCCAACTCATTATACAAAATGAGCTTGATTGGAATAAGAACATTCTCTACCAGCTGTCTGCTCTGAGTCAGTATGTAACAAAATTAGCAACTTTCTCTTTCCAACAGTGGCATGATTGCATCCAAAGTTTAAGGCAATTGGTTTGGAGATCTTGTTTGTTTCATTCACTCCATGCAAACATCAAGATTAACAAACCAATTTGTTGCAACTTAATTTGTTTTCACAAATATGAACAGAGTTAAGTAACAGAGGAAAAACTCAGCATTCTAATAGAGGAAAATGCTTTCATGTAGAGCATGGAATATAGAGAGAGACCTTAATATCGTCGTCTTAGAGCCATGCATTGTAAGCATAAGAGGATGGAAAATAACCAGAGACCTCCCAGGGTGGATATTTCATCAGATAAGCAATATTCTAGATACGTAAATTTACAAATATAATATTTGGTAAATTAAGTGTATGCTTTCATCACGAGTTATAAAAACAAGCTCACCTCCTGACCATTAGAAAATCTCAGAATGCTGCAATAGACAAACCACATGAAAACTCCTGTACAGGGATATGTAGTTTGCTCATTAACATTGGTACAAAGTTGAATTAACATCTTTAAGAAAGTGTTTTTCTCAACTTGCTAGTTTTTTGAGTCAGTTCCAGAAAAACCTACAGGTTATTCTTAGATTTTGTTTGACTAATTTGCAGAGTACAGAGGTACTTAATTAGGGCTATACAGTTTACCTGGATTCCTACCTGCCCCACATGTAAATGTAAATGTGCCTGGCTCCGGTTGTCAGTGTCCCACTGCTGATTGCTTTCACTTTAATGTTATAACTTACTCTTTGAGCAGACTGCCTGGCAGGTCCAGATTTGTTTTTGCAAAATTTTACATAAGAAAGCTTAATTGATCTTATTGCTTTGGCCAAAACTGTTTGATTTCAAACAGTCACCATTTACTTCTCAGACTTCTCATGAACCATTTTTTAAGAGTGTAAACATTAGAGTAGTTTGTTCTAAAAACAAACTTGTGAATACCTGGAGGCAAGTATTGTTTTTAGTGATCTTCGATACCTGTGGAAAAGAAATTTAAAACGAGAGGTACAAAGGCAATGTATTATTATATCCTGGAACATTATATCAAAATTTATTTAGTCTTCATATTTATGTTTTTCTGTGTACATTAATGTTGGGTAACAAAAGAGCATGGGAACCCAGGTATTCTGGATTTAACATCTGAAAAGTAAATGTACTACACGAGATGAGCTAGATCTAACCTAGACTTTCTTAACAGAAACATAAGTAATTTTGCATAAAATGAATTATAGCAGACAGATGGTAAGGAAGAAGGTTTTGTCCTCTTTTCTCTTTTCTTCCCCCAGAATGAATTTACTTTCGGTATCAATCCATTACCAGTAAAGATCTAGATTTTGTTCTTGCTTTGAACTCTTAAATATCAGCTACAGTTTTCCCAAAGTTATTAGTGTAAACTAAGGTCAGAGTTGGACTCTTTTCTTCTCTGTCATATTCAAATGAATTATAGCTATGTGCAATTTCTACTGTGTAGGTATCCTGTACATTTTTTACAGAAGAAAAATTCTTCCTTTTGCCAAGGGAAGTGAAGAGCAATATTCCTTTCTTTGGGGAAAGAAAATCAGAAACCTGCTGCTGTGTGAGACCTAAGCAGGTTGAAAAAACAACTAAGAAGCTTTAAGAGATGAAGCAGTTGGAAGGTTTTCATGAGGACTGCTACCCTGTGTCCCAGTTTTTCACCAACCTCTCTAACACTAACTGCACCAAACTGGACTTGCTTTTCTGTTGTCAGATCCAAGTAACCTATTTCTTTGTATGGCTAGGGTACCTACTGAAAAATCAGCATACTAAATTCAAACCATACATTTCTTGTATAGCACTGCAGTGTAAACCAACACGGACTATTAAAATACTAGGCACAGGGTATCCATTATCTGAGCTGTATGGAGAGTAACAATAATTCATAAGATACACATCTATTTCATACATTTTCTGTGTATATTTTTATGCAGCTGGTATATGCAATACACATATAAACTCTTTCATAATTTATACCTGACCTCTTTTCTTTGTTGTTTTGTTTTGTTTTTTTTTTTTTTTTCCCCAGAGAGTAATTTTCAATGTTGTCAACTTCAGTAAAACAAAAAGCCTCTACAGAGATGGGATGGCTCCAATGGTGAAATCCACAAGCAGACCGAAATGGTAATTTATCCTTTCAAAGACTTGCCTAATGAGATAAAAGTGTTTTACTTGGCACTTTCTTGTAGCGAAGACCTTATGGCTTAGGTGCACCTTTTGGTAAGAGCAGGAGAGAACTTTGATGCAAAAGCAGTGTTGTGAGGACAGGTTCTCCCTGGAGCAGATGGACAGCATGAACTCTGGAGGTCCAGTCCAGCCTTACTGTAATGGTGTGTTGCAGTGCCTTGTTTCAAGTAGCATGACTGAAGTGATGTTCATTCAAGCAAACAGAACAGTCAGGGCTTGGGCCAAATTATTTTTCAGTGACCTCCTCACCGTCCAACCGTTAGGACAGTCCCTGGCCCAGTTTGGGCCTGTGTCAGCTAGCAGTCTCCCAAACAAAGCCTGCAAATGATATGAAATGTGAACTGGGCCCGGACTGATTCCAAAAGGCTGCTGTATTTCTTCTCCCTGTTTTGCGGAGGTCAGATTTTAGTGGAAGAATGTAAGCTCTGCCATGTGAGTTGACCTAATGTGAACGAGTAGTCTCTGGTCTGTTTTATCTAAGACACAAGAAAGACAAACCTCCTTGTCGTAAGCTACACAACATATACAACACAGAAAAGTATGCCCATATGAAACACATGAATACTCATATAGATGGTACATTTTTTCAAAGAAAATGTAGTGAAATGTCTACTGTGAATAATAATATGTAAGTCCAATGAGTCCTAATGCATGCAAGACTCCCAAGGATTATGTGATTTGCCTTCAGCCAGGAGACTTGTTTGAATATGGATAGTGAGGTTAGGTGTGTGAAGTAATGTATTCTTGTAAGCCTTTACATCTGCTTCTTTTTATTGGTTAATTAATAATACATTTGATAAATCTGCACATTATCTGAGCCTTATATCTTTCTTAAATACTTCAACTGTCACAAAATTTCCACCCACAAGATATTAACTTTTGGTGGTCATAACTCTTCTCAGTGGTGCCAAGCGACAGGACAAGGGGCAAGGTTTCAGTTGAATATGTGGAAGAACTTCTTTACTTTGAGGGTGACAGAGTACTGGAACAGGCTGCCCAAGGGGGTTGTGGAGTCTCCTTCTCTGGGGATATATTCAAAGCCCGCCTGGATGATGTCCTGTGCAAAATGCTCTAGATGAACCTGCTTTAGCAGGAAGGTTGGACTAGATGATCTCCCGAGGTCCCTTCCAACCCTTGCCATTCTGTGATTCTGTGATGAGATCGCTGTTACTGTATGGCTTCCTTTTCATATGACCAACAGAATAGGTGTTTGGTTTATTATCTAGATAGTAAGGTCATGTGGACAGAAGAGCTGTCTTACCATACAGTTAGTGGATGGAGTCAATTCCAGCTCAATAGGAGCATGTGAAAATTAATTTTTCACGTTAACTGAAAATTAATTTTTAAAAATCCATTGTGTTTACTGTTTTTGTAGCAGAAGTCATGTTAATTGTGTTTACTATTTAACTTCATAAAATTCTTTTGGGACATTTCAGGGCCACTTTTACCAAGCATGCTTTCATCATCTTTCAAAACCTTTTCCTTCTCTTACTGGTGTCTGATATTTGCAGCTAAGTATATTGTGTGTTAAGTTTATCTATAAATCAGATACTGCTTTCATACAAATTTTATGCCTTACTTTGCTTTCAAATTAAAGTGTAAATCTTACAAAACAATGCAAAATGGGCTTTTTCTAGAACATATAGGCTCCTTCACTATTTTTAAAACAGATTTCTCTTCCATTTCCCTGGAGATCTATTTATTTTTGTGTTTTATATTTTTAGGGGATGTATTTTGCTCCCATGAAAGTGAGGAATGAATAACATTGCCTGGGGCCAGGCACGGTGTAGGCAGCAGGTGCTGAGCAGCGTCCTTGTACAGGGCTACTACCATACTTTAATCCTGTTTCAGAAATTCTAGCTGTAATTTTTTTCTTTAACAAGTTCATTATTCTATTAAGGTATTTTTATTTTTTTTCTCATAGTCCGTGTATGAAAATATCTTGCTGTACTTTGAAGGTGCACATTAATTCATACTGTTATCAGGGACCTTAGTGATATTGGGGTCTACTCAGTATAATTTTCTGTCTTGAAGTTAATAGGAGTTATGCATGTGTTTTCCAAGTGGGAAAACACATACACTATTTTTGGATATATGCGTTCTATTAGAGCTGTCTTCCATTTGGATTATGCCTTTTACAATTGCCTCTGTATCTGTTTCCATGGCATTCTAGTGAAACCTGTAAACAAAATTTTCTCTTTCTCTGTTTGCTGAAATAGGATTTACTAGTACTTGTGCTTGCTAATGCAGCATACAGGTAGTTGTGGTCCTTGAATATGAACAGGGCAATATCCAGCTGCATCGATTTGATCCTGTTTAGTGCTTTGTATATATTAGTCTAGTAAGAAATACTGAATGATTCAATGCTGCAAAAGTGCCAAGGTTTACATGAGGGTACTCAGGATTCAGAATTGTGGAAGGAGAACTATTGGAACTGTCCACCTTATATAAAGATTCAAGTCAGCATAGCAGGTTAGTGGATATGTCATTAAATTAGAAAATGGTACATTAATTACCAAAAGTGGAAGAAACACAAAAGGATTTAAAATCAAGTTAAAAAGATTACCAGAAACCAAGGTTAGTAAATATTGTGTAGCAGAGCTCAGCCCTTCATCTATGAATAAATCTATACGAAATATTTGAGGAACTCATCAGTTTTGCACGTGCAAATTTGCACATTTGCCATGCTATGTGTATGCCTTCAGTGTGTGATCCATACTGAAATTCTCCCAACTTCCTCTGGCCACACTGATAGAAGCAATGCTGTGTCACACAAAACTATTCCACTCCACTGCCTTTTTTATACAATCAGGTTTGAGTTTTAGGGTGATAAAGTGTCTATTTTCCTTTTTGCACTTGAGAGATGTGGATACATTACTCCTCTTAATAAAAGTTATTCAAGTCCAAGTTATGCCCTTTAGATTTAAATGAGAAAGCTCCCACTGTATTCAGGATAAAATTTGACCATGTTGCTTGCAAGACCCTGCATGTCAAAAGTAGATTGGCCTCCAGAGACTGTGAATTTTAATGTTTGTTTTGAATGCTGTTATGCGAACATGGCTCCAAGCTTTGCAACATTTTGTGAGTTTGATTCTTGACTCTGGAACAAATCACTGCCAACTGCTCTTGAAGTAGAGAGTGTGTCAATCACAGATCAACGTTTTTGACCTGTATTCTCTTGCCCTGTGGGGTAAGATCTTTAAATGCAGTCAGCATCAAGGTTCAGCTCAGTGTTACTGATGTAAATGGAGTATACACTGTCATCAAAGCACTCTATGTGGACACAGATGTTCTGGTGTTGAAATACTCTTCTCTTTTGAAGTAACGCCAAACATTTCCAGTAATGAGCTACTTAAAAAGAGAAAGCAGCATGCTGAAGGATAAGGAAAAAACAGATTTCATGCTAAAGAGAAAGATTATTTTTTAAAAAGAAAAAAACCAGAAAGATAAATTCTGATTAAAATGATATCTATTTTCCCCATGCACAGTAACGGATTTACTGAATATTGTTTTCCAGAGGGATACAGCAAAACAAAAAAGAACTAAGTAGGTTAAGTTGTGCATCCTTTTGCCCATTTTTTCTGCATTTTTCGTGGATGTGCTATGTTGACACTGAATAGTATGGGGTTGTGTCAGACGCATCAGTCAAATTTCACTGCAATGAATCACAGCTCATACGTAGAAATGCAACATTGTGTCACACCGTGTTACATCAGTTGCGCTTCATAACAAATAGGACAAGATGAAACTCCAAGATTCTATTTCAAGCCAGTGGAATGTGCTGTGTCTGATCACTTAGCATATTTGCTTAAAATTAGCTGGTTCTTCAGAAGTATTACAGCAAGATTTTAGAGAATTGGTGTTTTTTTCTCAATAATGACTACTACAAATATAAAAACCTCAATTACTTTTATAGACACCTGTTCCGTTTTGACTGGGTCCTTTTTCTTCGTCTTAATTGTGGAGGTGAAGAATTTAAGGGAAGATGAATTTGAGGAAATTAAATGCTATGCTGATGCAGTTTCTACTGTAATCTTCTTTTTCTTTGCTGCTTCATTTAAGTGCAACCTAAATTTGTTGCAGTTTCTTAATCATGATTTCACACTAACAGCTCTGTCCTTGGAAGGTACTCATAAAGCCTTCCATGTGGGCTGTCGTGGTTTAACCCCAGACTACAACTAAGGACCACATGGCTGCTCGCTCACTCCCCCCCCAACAGGATGGGGTGGAGAATCTGAAGGGTAAAAGTGAGAAAACTCATGGGTTGAGATAAAGACAGTTTACCAGGTAAAGCAAAAGCCGCACACCCAAGCAAAGCAAAGCAGGGAATTCATTCACTGCTTCCCACCGCCAGGCAGGTGCTCAGCCAACTCCAGGAAAGCAGGGCTCCATCACGCATGATGGTGACTTGGGAAATCAAAATCCCATCACTCCCAATGCCCCCTCCCCCTCCTTTTTCTTCCCCCAGCTTTATGTGCTGAGCATGATGTCATATGGTGTGGGATATCCCTTTGGTCAGTTGGGGTCAGCTGTCCTGGCTGTGCCCCCTCCCAGCTTCCTGTGAACCTCCAGCCTCCTCACTGGTGGGGTGGGGTGAGAAGCAGAAAAGGCTCTGTGTAAGTCCTGCTCAGCAAAAATGAAAACATCCCTGTGTTATCAACACTGTTTTCAGCACAAATCAAAAACATAGCCCCATACCAGCTACTATAAAGAAAATTAACTCTATCCCAGCGAAATCCAGCACATGGACATAGCAGTGGCAGACCATTTAAGTACATATACCTTGCTATTATATTGATTGCATGAAGTTTTACAAGTTTCTCAAAGTTAAATAGAAGAGTGAGTTGTTCGAGAGGCAGCAGATTTTCCAAATGATGAAGTGAGCAAATATTCCCTTTGGGCAGAGAACAGCTATAACTCTTGATTATTCAGTGTGA